GAAGTTGCGCCTAGTGGGCGGTAGCTAGACTTCCATCCGGGTTAAGTTAAGTCTTAGGGACGGGCGCATAACAAAGAGTGCATAGTGCCTATCGCGTAGAAAAGTGTTAAAGTGCGCCTATAGGTTATAAAAGCCAGCTAAAGCGAAACGTGTAAGCATGTAGGAGGTATAAAGCCAAACCACATATACTAAATGATAGACAGTGGAGCAAGAAGAGGTTGATAATGTGTGGCATGGGACTAGCTATTAGCGGAGGATGACCAGGCTCGGTATCCTTAAGCTATACGGTGCTGTAGTGCCGCGTCTCACTGTCTTTGAGGTGGCCTACGGCTGTAGAATGGAAAGTGAGCCTTCTGACCTTTACAGTAACGGCGTCCGTGGCCTAGCTTCTTAAAAGAGCAGGATACCATCAAACAAGACGTGATATTGGTACTGCGGCGTACAAGCAAGTGATCATTTTTTTTGTTTCATTGGTACGAGGATCGAGAGCAAAAAAGCAAAGGCCGAAGTGATTAATTAGGCCAGGGTAGGCCAAGCATACACAGGATGAGTCACGCTAGAAGTAGGATGGATAAGCTGCTTCCAGTATGAAAATGCGGAAGTGTAAATAAGTAGAGAGACGTTAACATATCTTTTGTCGGAATACACCACACGTTTCAGCAGCAAGAGAAATCAGAAACCGGACGTGGTCCAAGAGGAGGAAGAGACAGGCAAAATAGTGAAGTGAATTTAGCAAGCACTGCGGTATAACGTTGGCGATAAAAATATAAAGGGTATTATTGGAAGGTTAGATGGTAGACCATAGGAGAGGTAAACGTAGTACACTGTATAGAATGGTTAAGCAAATTTGGTGAGACTTGTGAAGAGCAAGCGGTGAGAAGCTGGTGTTGGGTAAATAAAGGAGGCATCGGTCTGAAAAACGAGGAATGTGACCACTGCGAAGTACGGCATAGTCCAGTAGGGATAGTAGAATGAACCAGCTAATGAATAGGACATATGAGGAATGAACTATGTGAGCAAGGTGTCAAGAAGCAATGAAAACCCAGGTGGGGAATCCGAGAAACGAAATGAAATAGGAGATGTGGTTACTACCTAAGGAAAGGAAGGAACATGCATACATAGCATATATGAAGCCAGGATTAGAAGTAAGCGGCCAAGGTTATCTACGCAAAAGATGAGTAGTGCTGGGACCACTTCGTCGTGCCAAGCTGTGAAACAGCATAATAGCCTAGCAAGCACAAGGTAAGTCAGGCGGGCAGATCGCTGCAGCCCTAGGCTTCGTCCACTCCTCATGTTTGCATTCTGGCGACAACTGGAAGAAGGCCGCAAGTAGGGGTTTCAGAAGTTTGTGGTTAATACGTCGTTCTTTCGAGGTCTTAACTGCCGGCACCTTTGTGAAGCAGTAAGCAGCTTTCATACGGACCCGTCTGAAATGTTGCTTCCAGGCTTACCCGCCCCATCTTGTTGGGGACAAAATGGAGCTCTAGAGCTTGTTGAGAGTAGGTAACAAATTGGTGAAGGGGTTACGGGGACAAACGTACCCCTAGCGTCTACTTAGCTCGGGTATACATTCGTTGCACAACCGATGGTTTCGAGGAGACCTAATCATTACTTACCGCATTTTAACGGGGAAGGGAAAGGATTTGAGCTGGCTATTTAGACCTGCTAGGTTGCCAACTCTTCGCGGTATTCCCATGAAGCCACACAAGCCGCGTCCTGGCTGGATCAGAGCCGAACCCCGATTATCTCGTAGCGTTAACGGGCGCTGGAACTCGCTTCCATAAATCGTAGTCGTTGAACCTACGGTTAACGGTTTCGAGTGTCAGACGCTCTTGGTTGGTAACACGAAAATTTTCCTTATCCTAGCCATATCCAGTTTTCAACTTTGAGTTCATATTCTGTCATTCTCTTCACTCATTAACGTTACCCTTCATTTAAATTTCTTTCCTTTCCCTTTATCTTTCATTTGATTTCTACGTATTGCTTACTTCAGGTGACCTACACAGCGGGGGGCTGCTAGTGCAAGGAACGTGGGCAGTAAATGTTTGACCAGGGTGTGGTTCGGGTGCTTTGTTTTAGATCAATCGAGGCCTCATAGCAACTTATCATTTCCTGGCTCAAAGATCCGCTCAAGAAGCAACACCAAAGGGCTTTTCCTACCGTTCCAGTCCTATATTAATATGAAGATGCAAACACTGCACTGCAAACACTGCGCTGGATTTGCTTCACTTCTTGCTACACAACCTAACAGGCCATCGGCGCATGAAGCTTGACGCTTGTTTGGCGGAAGCTTGTCCTTATATCCTGTCGTGTCCTAACTTTGGTGACTTGGGTCTTTGAATTACCTACAAAATTTAAATTATAATGGAACGTTTCTTAATAATCTTTCTTTATTACAATGAATTTTCAGAATGAAACAGTTAGCCGTATTTGTTAAATTAGCCCATTTTCAAGGCTGAATTCTGTTACGTATTTAAGATACTTTGTGTGGCAAATCGAACGTCCTTTTTTGCTTGTCGGATTCTTCAGTTTTACTCCCAGACATGGTATGATGACGTTGTGTCGTGCCTTATGTTTTAGGCTGTATCTGCAGAAAACGAAGGGACTATCTACCAGTTCAATGTTAACACGATTGATGGGGAACAAGTATCTATGGAAAGATATCGGTAAGCGATTGTGGGCTTCTACATGCTGTAGGGGTTTTGTTACCCTAATCGTTAACGTTGCTTCAAAGTGAGGCTTAACCGATATGCACTATCGCCAGCTTCAGGAGCTGCACACGCGCCTGTCTGGCAAAGGCCTCCGCATTTTGGGCTTCCCTTGTAATCAGTTCGGTGCACAAGTGAGCTATCCCTATTTTCTTGTCATTCTTCAAGGAACCGTGGCCAGAACCCGAAATCAAACGTTGGGTTACAGACAATTACCATGTAGAATTTGATATGTTCGGCAAAATTGATGTCAATGGCCCTGATGCCCATCCACTTTATAAGTTTTTGAAAAAGGTACAAAGTGGTCCTGTCATAGAGTAAGTATAATTTCTCATTTTATCCCCTAGAGCCATCAAATGGAATTTCGCTAAGTTTCTGGTTGACCGCAACGGTAGGCCTGTCCACCGATATCCTCCTAAAATGGAACCCTTCGTGAGTTCTCTACGCTGGTTCCTTTGTTTTAAGGTCCATTAACAGTTGTCATAATTTTATTCGTGTGTGTAATTCCGATTTAATTTTTGTTTTTTTACAATACTCAACAATGGGTTGTAGGTTGCTCATAGTTCAAAATTTTCCCTACCGCTTGCTTTCAAGTTTTAATTCGTATTGCCAGAGCCTAACTATCGTTTGCTAATATGAGGAGTCTCCGAAAAGGATCATCTGGAATGTTCTGTAGTATCACAGCGAGTCGTGGTCGATCCGTGTGAATAATGTTTCTGCTGGTGTTTGGGGATAATTCGTTTGTGGTAAGACCACTATGATTGCAATCTTGGGCATCGCTTCTTGCATAATACGAGCCACGTACTACGCATGACATGCGAACGAATATAACATGGTTCATACAGAACCGCACCGGAAGAAATCACGCGGCAGTCAGCCTATCAAATGGTGACTCCAAACACTGACCTTCACTTTTACTCAACACCAGCTTACGGTATGTCGAAGACCGATGCGGAATACTGGGACTATGCATCCTGTTCTGTCATCGGTTTCAGATGCATCTCATAGTGGCGCATCGCGCATTGCATCCGGGATTTATGCTAAGGCCGCCTCTGCAAGTGTGCGCATTAAAAATTGATCGCGGACACCGGTACAAGCTCGTAGTCCCGAAAAGTGAAACGAATTTCTCGCTCTCTGCTCAGAGCGGAGATAATGGTTGATTCGTAATTGGTCTCTGTATTTGATAACTTCCTAGATGCCCACTCTGCATTTAAGCTTTCGAGAGCGCGCCCCGGCGGTATAAGACGTTACGCAGCTGTAACGTGTTGAAATACACAGAAATGAATGTAATTCTGAGCGTGTTCAGAGCTCAGGATCGGAAGGTAGGGAATGCCATAGACTCGAAACATTGAGGACGTCACGCAATCGAGCTCAGTGGAACATTTGCGAATTTATGCCTCAATTAAGCTCTTTGACATCGCCATCAGAAAGTTAATGAATATGATTATATATATATATATATATATATATATATATATATATATATATATATATATATATATATATATATATATAGAGGGTCCTATATTAACCCGTCACCCGCAGTTCAACACTTGGGGCACGTATGGCATCACAACCCGGTAGTCTTTAGGAAACCGGAGCAAAAGCAATAAAACTGCTCGCTCCTGGTATCTTATGTAGGCAGGTGTCCAGAAGCCGTTTAAAACTTTCTTCCACCGGCGCATCGACAGCACTCCTTGTAGATGGTTCCAGACAGTCACTGCCCGAGTAGATAGAGCGACGGGGGCGTGGACTTTAGCCTCCTCAGTTTGAACAGCTTCTAATTGTGAGATCATGTCGAGCCACCTATGTTTAGCTGATAAATCTGCAGCAGTTCGCTCCCAATTTCTCCTCTTTGTATTTACCGAGTATACTCGGTGACCTCATCGTGGAGACCTCATCATTATAATGATGAGATCTCCACGATGATGGTATTCCATGTAGAATAGATTTGTCAGCTGGAGACGGTAGGAGTAGTGAAGATTACGAAGACCTGATTTGGACTTAGAGCCGCGCCTTTGAACTTTTTTGATTAGGGACATAAAAAGTTATTGGAAATGCAGCTGACAAACGGCACTGTAGAATCGGTCGCACGTGAGAAGTGAAAAAAAGAAGGAAGATCACTCGAGCAGGATATTTTTATGACACAGCACATCCTGTTTGCAGCGGTGATTTTTTCAGTGTATCCTGTTAAGTCCAGGTGGTTCAGAAGCCCGGAGCCGTAGAGTGCGGCATTTTTCGTATTTTATTGGTAGACACCACTTGATGGACCAGCTGTGCAGTAGACCAGGGGTCACCTGTAGTCAATCAGCGGCGTCGAGGTCAGACAACTTGAGGTCGTCGGCATAGACCAGGCATTTAGTTTGAAGTGTTACAGAAAGGGCATTGATGTACGGCTTGAACAGTTCGGGTCCAAGGACAGATCCCTGTGGAACTCCGCCGGTTATGAGCACGAGCTTGGAAAGCCTTTCGTTCACTCTCACTTGTATCCTCCGACCTCCCAGGAAGTCGGCAATTCACGTGTGAAGCCTGCCACTAACACCGATTTCCATATGTTTTCATAATATTCGCTAATGGGAAGTTTTATAGATCGCTTTGCTAAATTGGGTGATTGATGTGTTGTTTGACATCGATTGACTGCCTAATTTTCTCTTGCCATTAACAAGTTGTTGGAACAGGAACGTCTCTTCTAGAAACCATGCCGAGTAGCAAAAGTAATGTTATTTCCGCCTATTATCCACTCTTAAAGCTCTTTCCAGTCCCGTTTTGTTCCGGACTAGGCCGCGCTAGTAAGGTTTGACGAAGTCTTCCAGATGAGACCGGACGAAAGCTGAAAACAGATCCAAATGACATCGGCTATTAAGATTCAAAAGGAATGAGGTATCGTTCGCCAAAGGCGGAACTCTGTTGACGGCATTTTTTAGTTGTCACTTAAATATTGACTCGAGGAGTGGGCGAGGCCCAAATCAGTTTGACTGGATACACGGGGAGTTCAATCTCGCCGACCAGGAGGAACGGAACACTGCTTTTCGGCCAGTAGCCATAAACAATAATGATAATAAAATAGATACGTCGCAGTGTTTACCCAAAGCACACTGAGCTGCTTTGGGACCTTCAGAAACATCCGAATTCTACTGGAGTTTTAGGTCATTAGCAGATTTTAGCCGGTGGCCGAAAGGATTGCACGCTTGGTTTGCAATTCTTAGGTCACCGATTCATAGCCGCAGGCGTCCTCGCGGTGCACTCAGCCCATACCCGACCGGCGTTGGTCGCGTGGCAGCGAAACGTCTGTACAGTGGGCCGGCGTACTGCTGAAGACTTTGACGGGAGGACGATTTACAAATATGGCAAACATCATTGGTCTAACAGTCGAGACTTGGGGGACGCCGCCGAGAACAGATAACCAAAAGGATATGCTGCGGCACACGCGAACACATTGCTTTTTCCCAATTAAAATTTCAGACACTAGCTAAGATATAATAACTTATTCTATAATGTGATGATCTTAATTGGGGCATCGTCTCAAAGGCTTCCAAAAGTCCACTGCGTGTGCAATGTTCAATGCATCCGTCCAACTTTAACGATCTACTTATTAATTTGACGCACATGAAAACTCCCGAGATCCGTGCGGTACATGACTTATTAGATCAAATCTACTTAGATATCTTTCCAATGAATCTCAGTTTTTCAAAGAGTAACTGACTGACTGGTCTGTAGTTGATAGGTAAGTCCTTGTCATTGTTTTGAAAGTATGACAGCTGATAGCTCCCTGACATTCTTATGGCAAAGTACAATTGTCAAGCGATTTGGGAAATACTATCATGGGCGAATCACTTGGTTGCGCGGCCAACTCATGCGGCAGTCTTGGATGAATTAAATCAATATTCTAAAGGATCGCGTCTCAATTACAATCAGTTCAGCTAAATACCTGCCACCTTGGACTCCGAAAATCAGTTCAGCGCGCGGCAACTAGGCCTCACGTACAAACGTCCCTGCATACTGGCCACTAAGTATGCGAGCATTATTGTAGTCAGCCCGTGCATGGATTCCATCGGTTAGTGTCCACACTGGAATTGACGAATTTTAGCCGAAGCACATCATTATATCCTACACTCTGATAACTCGCCTGGCATCACCATCCAATTCCATATCACAGACTGAAAGCGGGTCCAATATTCCCGCCCTTCCACTCATAATATTCCTTTACCTTTTGTCCCTCAGTTTGTGTGCTTGCAAACTGACTCTGAAGTCTGCATTTATTTTATTCAACACGTGACCAGGAACTATACATTTTCTTCTTATAGGAAATTGAGAAAGACATCGTTGAACTCCTGGAGCAGTAGGCTGGCCCTGCGACTGCATCCCTCGGTTTTCTATTATCCGGATTCCTACCAATGACGGCAGCATCCACAAGCCATTCCTATGGCTGGCTGCTGCTCGATGTTCTCGAGATTGTGTGCACTCGATATAGGAGTTTTTGGATCCATTGGAGCCGTTGGTTGCTTTACGTGTACCTTTCCTTATATTCCCTCCACAACCTGTCGTTCAATATTTTCATCATTTTGCTTTGCCCCGCCAATTTATACTTATTTGTAAACAATCAACCTAATGGAAACTTTTCTGCTAGCTGCTAACGGTTCTCTTTTCAGTTTGTGTTTTGCCTCTTCCCGTGGTGCTTTGGCGCATTTGCCTTACTACGAGCTGAGTGCGCTTCGCAATGGGTCATCTAGGGCTAGTGATTTGTTTGAACTGCAGTTCAGGTAGATAACCGCAAATTCTATGGTCGATATTGTAGCCAAACCGATTATGTTCGACGGTTTAATGTCTTTGGAATATAAGACGTGAAAGTACTATTGAATGCTGCAGGAACCGAGATGTTTGAACCAATCGGAGACGCGATACTCTGAAATTATTATTTTATTGCCACACGCAACTTGCGCTTCGTATGTTGGTCACAGAAATGGCTTGGGACAATTCTTGTGACTCTATGTTTCCTTAGAGAAATTATATGTGTAATGAACATGGTGGGAGACCTTCGGTTGAGGCCGAAAACAATACTTTAATTACGTTTCTAAGTATGCTTGGTGGGAGGTATGTATGTGCTACGTACGTTTCGATGTTTTTCAGAAAATGTACCCGGTCTATTTACTCTTATGTCACCTACAGGCAAGAGATAATACAAAACCGGTGGTATCTTTTAGCGCTGCTTGAAGTACTGTTCCTAGCAAGATTTGCCTACTCCAGACCGACGTGTTCTCAATTGCCTTGCACAACTGTGATCCGAGCACCGACGTCCAGTGCATCTAGTTTTCACGACTCACATTGTAATTATAACATTAAATAACGACGGCAAGATAGTTGGGTCCATGAGTACATCATCGGACAGTCGACTGTCCGATTTCCGCCCTCTTCTGGCCTGCAGTTAGTTTGTGGAAAACGAAAAGTATTCAACCGTTGAAAGCTATGTTGAATGCTGTCTGAACAACCAGAACCCTACCGCAGCGTATAACAAAGGTGTTTGCCAGTAGATGGCTAAGAGTACTAGTAAGTTTTGAGTTTTTCTGAGTGTCTAATATCGGTGTTTCGGAAACGAGGGCTTTTAGTACAGAGAAAAACTGGTTGTGCAGACAGAAAGTCGTGTCTATCCTTGTTTGTCGCATCGCTTCATTATTATCCCGTTCAGGTAGCTCCTGCGCAGTATAGGTTTTCTACCTCAAGAATGGTGTTTCGGGGCACTGTAAAAAGTTCCGTAGGTTTTCTTCACCATGAACTGCTGTCCGAACAATCGCTAAGTGGTGACAGTCATTATGAATGGTGATCGTAAATCGATGAAAGACTGCGTTAGAAAGTGCTTCCAGATTTTAACTATCCGATTTCCGTACGAAATTTGTTCCGTCGTTGCTTTTTTCGGACGGAAATCGGTCACTTGGCGGACAGTCGTGCTATCAGGGGTTGAATACATATATAAAATGAAATTAAAAAGGAGGTGCGCTTGAATAATCAGGTTAGGACCTGAGTTAACAACTGGATGCAAGAAACCGAATGCAGGGAACCTACTGACTGTATGTGCGTCATGTCGGAAAGGATCTCTAGCCACTGGTGGATCATCACTAGTCCCCCATCCACGAAGACAGTACAACCTTGACTAATTCTCCCTAAATTTCTTCAAGCCTCTATGCCACACTATGGACTGGCCATCTAGCGGTTGCGCCCAATTTTGCGTAGCCGAAACGTAATGCACACCGAGAAGGCCAGTCAACAGGCACATCGAGGTAGGGATCTATTCAGCGTAATCGATTAAGATACAGCAAACACTGGCGTGAGGTACCAGCATACTACTTACCAACAGCTAACTGGCGAACCTCAGCGCTTCTCACCGTGTTCGTACTAAAAGTGAGCAATACTCCGCAAGCACCGGTGGTCAGACACAGTCAGACGTTTAATGTCCGCCGCGAACTGGTCAGGTCTCTAACCCATAGTGCAACACTGGCTTTATCTCATCGTTGATAGTCTGATATCCCGCTGTCTCCATAAATGGTTGTGCCTATGGAAAGCCACGCAGGTCTTGCTGATACGCGAAGTAACCTCTTCAATGATGTGACCACCAGAGGTGCCATAGCTACCGTTCCATCACTTCCACTGGCTGTTCGGTGGTAGCTATAACCGGAGATATGTTGGTCCAGTCCTTCAACAGTACTTTGCACATTGCGGCTGTAAAGCACACGCCGAAACTTACAGAGCTACGCGTCAGTTTATCCAGTGGTTTTTGCATAGTCATTGCATCAGACCCAATTGGAGCAATGTCGTCCGCATACTCCAGGTTTATCAGTCGGTCACCTGGCAAAACTTCCACACCGGTAGAGTTTTCAAAAGCAACTCATCCATGACCATTTCATTCATACAGTTGAGAAGGAATTGAGATATAAAAAACCTTGGCGAATCTCACTTGTCGTGGAAAGTTCAAGAAACAGTTTCCATTTGACTCTTACGGCGCCTCGGGTCATGATAGGGAGACTGTATAATGGAAATGAGTTTAAGCGGCACGCCGTTCATCGATAGGCAGTCCCACAAGCTGGTGCGGTCAACAGAGTCAAAGACGGCTTTCAAGTAAAGGAAAACCACCATAGTCGGTCGTCTATATGTGTTTCTATTCCAACATACTTGGTGAAGAGTAAATATGTGCTCGATACAACCACTACCAGAGCGGAAGCCAGCTCGGCTTTCAGTGACTTGGTGCTCTAAGGTGATGCAGGATGAGCTACGGACGGTTTAGAGGCTCCGTCGGAAGGTGAGGTCCGAAACGCGAGCACAACCTTTTTTTCGTGCTGTTGTCCCGGATTCCCTACCACCCGCAATATCTGAGAATAGTGGTGAGGTACTCTACAAAGCGGTGACCTCTTTCTTCGAACAAGTTTAGTAGGAAGCGATCATCCTAGTTAACACTAGGAAGACCGCTCTGCAGATATACCTAGAATTCCCGGGACCGGTCCAAATGACCGCATTACTGTATTTCTTTATCCTAACTTTTAGTTACATTATTTTCAATATACTTGTACATATATATGAGTATGATATATCTATGACGGAAAAATAATTGTATTGAATTTTATTTTTTCAAAGCTTGAAAATAATTGCACTTACTCATGCAGCTTTACATTTGAAACATGTGATAACTCTCATTCTGTCCACATAAGCCACAGACAACTTTTTCACGTACACAGCACTTACTCCTTGACTTACTGCCTGTACAGTATTGCGGCACAGTAGCTGAGGTGTTTTTCACCTTTAGATAACGTGTATAATGAGGACGATGATGTACAGTAATCACTCTGATACTGTCGACGCTTAGTTGTCTCACGACTTTCCAACTGCGCCGAGTTGTTCGTGTTATATCCGGTTGTCACGCACCTTGTATGATGTATGCATCCACGCAGTTCTTCCGCAAGACCCGTCAGACACGGCCGGCGGGCTAGTTTATTTCCGGAGGCATTATCCAGGAATTGATTCCAACCAAAGTTAACACGTTGAAAAATACTTGGACTGACCACCGTCGAGAGGATGACTTGACAATGAGTGCTTTTACCATTTGGCGAGTACATCTACGCCATACTATATGGAGTTGTAAAAGAATACAGTTTTGGGCTTTTTCTTTCCAGGGTCTAGAATGGTAGTTACTGTGCAAAGAACTGAAAACCAAAACATTTTTATTCCTTTATACTGGTAGGATGTTAATGTGTACTTACTATTGTTCTTCATAATGAGTGAACTGAACAGCTCTCTTCTACTTTGCTTCACAATCGTTGGCACTTCCTTTTTATTAGCTTGTATAGTTCCCGTCATACTTGTATTTTTCTTGAAGAGTATTTCTCCCAATGCTGCAGATGTGAAGAAGTTGTCACGTGTGACATTTTAACAATTTCCCAATGAGGGTAACATAAGACTCAATACCACACCCTCTGGAACCCTTTCTCCTCATGGCCGAAATTCGTCCTTTCTGAGAGATGGAAATCTATTCATGACTTATTTACTGTCCACGTTTGCCAAAATCCAAACTTGCTACTGAACTTATCAGGTTTATTGACCATGTACTGAAGAAAGCGACAGTCGGTTTTAATGGGAAACAATCGCTCGTGGTTGGTGATATTCTGCGCAGGCACAAACCACTGTTTAGAGTCGCGAATTCAGAAAGCAAAGCAAACTTGTCAGTTTGCAGTCAATCACCTCTGCTAGTTCGTATATCAGAACGAAGGAACCTCATTATTACCTTGCATTTGTTCTTACCAACTGTTTCCCTGAAAACAGCTAATCCTTATTTATCACACCACAGCATCTTCAATAGCATGTTCTTCAAGCCCATACAGGCTCTGATGTAAAGTAGCCCAATAAATGCACGCAGCTCAGGAATATTTATGTTCCACTGACAAGTGACACAAATCTCTTGGCCACATCTTCTGTACATACTTGAATCTGTTTCAACATCTGAGATGTGCTTATGATGTCAAAAGCGCTTGATTGCTGACTACATTTCACACATTTCCTATCGTAGACAGTTTGTCCTGCTCTAGCTCTGTGATGGAATTTTACCAACAGTACTTATCTGGAACTCCATTTCGTTCCACGATGTAACATCTTTAGATATGTGAACTCCACTGGAAGATGCAAAGTCGACTGATACGCTCTCATTATTGTCTTCATGAGGAGTGCCACTGTCAGAACTTTGACCATCAGGAATGCTGTGATCTACTGCTGACTCTTGGAAAATGCAGTCTACATCAACACCATATTCATTCTCGTCTCCAAACTCATAAAACTACAAAAGCCGTTTTCCTGCTACGATTCATTGTATGTTAATAGTAATGAAATTTATCAGACCGAACGCACAATATCACTGGGAAGTCATTAATCGTCTATACCGTTTTACAGTCAATTTAGCGAATAGCGCTAATAGCTTGTAAAAAAGCAAAATCACTTGTTGTGCGATCAAATTCTCACGTGCGTTAACGCCCTCTCTTCCTTCGTGGATACTTACACGCGTTATCAGTGACACTCGTTGGTCATATGACATTAGCCAATGGGACACCCTGGGTGTAAGCACATGGCGAGATGTAAGTGTCCAAAGGGGTGCAGGGAGTGC